AAAAAAAAAAAAAAAAAAGAAAAAAGAAAAAAAGGAAGGAAGAGAGATTTCTACGGGGCTGACTTGTATATGCCTAGAAAAGGTCTCAGCCCCTCCCAAAATCACCCAACAGTCATCATGACTGTGTGTTTGGCATGACGGGAATTGGGAGACAAGCGTAGGTGTGGGGAGGTAGAGGCCAAACTGCAGTTGGCCCACCCAAGGGGGCATGGGGTTCCTCTCCGACATGGCCAGGCGATGCTTGCGAAGAAGGAAGGACAGAACTTTCCATTCCTGACTGTGTCCACAACACCGCCCGCGGTGGAAGTCTGAGCCTGTCCTACAGCCCTCGTGCTGTGAGCTTGTCCCTGCCACGGGGCAATTCTGGAAAGCAAGGAGTATTCCACCCAGCTGGGAACAGAGACACAGGTCTCACCTCCAGCCCTGCTGGGGCGCGTAAGACTCCCCTGAGGAATTCTACAAACACACTGATTCCCAGGCTCCATGCTCAGAGGTTCTGAGCAGGTTGGTCCCAGACAGGACTCAGGTGGTAGCCTGCCTGTAAGTGCCTGGTTGACCTGAGTGAGTAGCCAGGGTTGAGAACCACTGTCTCAGGGCACCTGCGTAATGAACATTTGCATACCTAACCCTGAATCGTATCCCACATCTTTGAAACTTAAAAAAAAAAGGAGAACCACTGTCTCCAGGTAGAGTCATGGTGGGGATCGGATGGCCAAGATCTAGGGTCTGTCCGACTTGCCAGCCTCAGCTTTCTCATCTGTAACACGGGAGTGAGGATACCAACCTCCCCGGCTCCCAAGGATGGGCAGAACTAAAGTCTGCACACACTCTCTGAGCACAGCACGCTCCGGAAGTGCGGGGCATACTCACGGGGGTCTTTCTGTGCATTTCACGGTCAGAACCTCTCCGAATCCAAAGACTTATCAGTTGCTTTCTGGGGCCCCTCCCAGGCGCCATCTGCCTCTTTGCCGAGGTGCCAGAATCTGTTTTTGAGTGTGTCTGGGGCGGCTGCGCCTCCCGGGCTTCCTTCCCACCGACAGGGAGCTCTGATTATATCAGGCAAAGCCTTTTGGAGAAGAGTCAACTGCAGACAGACAGATGAGCAGCACCCTCCCTCCCTGAGCTCTGTGAGCTAATGAAATGGATGGGGGGCAACACGCCCCCACGGGAGAGGGAGGGCGTCCCTCCGCTGTGAGGCGAGGAGCTCCCCTTGGGTGGGAAAATGCTAAAGTCTGTAACTTTACGTGGCTGTGTCAGGTAGGGGAAGTTCATTTTAGTCAGTGGTTTATTCTATTTTGCAGAGATGGGGGCTCATCTCGTTGCCCAGGCTGGTCTCAAACTTCCGGCCTCAAGTCCTCCTCTTGCCTCAGCCTCCCAAAGTGCTGGGACCACGGGTGTGAGCAACCATACCTGACTTCCCTTCTTCTCTCTCTCTTTCTCTCTCTCTCTCTCTCTCTCTCTCTGTCTTTCCTTCTTTTTTAGAGACAGGGTCTTGCTCTGTCACCCAGGGGATGGAGGGCAGATGTGTAATCACAGCTCAAGCGGCCTCCAATTCCTGGCTCTGGGTGATCCTCCTGCCTCAGCCTCCCAAAGTGCTGGGACCACAAGTATGAGCCATGGCATCCGGCCTTAATTAGTGGTTTAATTAGCCAATTCAAAGAAGACCAGGGAAGACCGTGTCAGGACTACTTGGAGGTACTGACAGGAGCATCTGTGAGCTAGCTAACAATGATCCTCCCATCTGCTGAGCTTTATGAAGTACAGAAAACACTTGTGTGCACATTGGCTCATTTGAGCCTCACAGGAGCCTCCAGAGGCAGACAGGATTGCCCCATTTCACAAAGAGGAGAGTTGAAATTGGGGCAGGTGAAGTACCTTGCTCCTGGTCACAGACAGGTGCCAGGAGTGGGATCTGGACATAGTCATTTGACCCTGTCTAAACCTCTTTCCACTCCAGAGAGCCTGGGCTCGGGGGTAGACCCCTGAGGACAGCTGCCAGCTCTGTGATCTTGACATGTGGCTTCATGACCACTCTACTGCTTCTTCCTCTTCCTCTTCTTCTTTTTTCTTTTGAGTCGGAGTCTCAAATCTGTCACGCAGGTTGGAATGCAGTAGATCGATAACGGTTCACTGCAGCCTCGACCTCCTGGGCTCTGGTGATCCTTCCACCTCAGTCTCCTGAGTAGCGGGGACTATAGGCACATGCCACCACCCCCGGCTAATTTTTTGATTTTTTTGTAGAGATGAAGTCTCGTTAGGTTGCCCAGACTGGTCTCGAACTCCTGGCTGAAAGTGATCCTCCCGTCTTGGCCTCCCAAAGTGCTGGGATTACAGATGTGAGCCACCACGCCTGGCCCCTCTCTGTGTCCTCTTCTGAGAAGTGGAGATGACCAGGACTGGCTAAACAACTTGCAGAGCTCAGTGTACAATGAAGAGGCTGAGCTCCTTGTTCAAAAAATTCTAAGAATTTCAAGATGGCAACAGCAGAACACTCACCCAGTTGAGGAGCTCTGTGCCACTGCCTGGACCCCACGCCCATGAAGCCAGCCCTCATAGGTCTTTTTGAGGTTTGATAAGGTCACAAATATGAGCTCTCAGCACAGAGCCTGGTCTACAGGGAGCCCCATGCACAGTCACGCTTTTATTTTCTATTTTTATTTCTTTGAGTCAGAATCTCACTCTGTCACCCAGGCTGGAGTGCAGTGGCGCACTCATGGTCAACACAGCCTCGACCCACTGGGCTCCAGCGATCCTTCCGCCTCTGCATTCCACGAAGCTGGAACTACAGATGCGTGCTACCACGCCTGGCTTAGTTTTCGATATATTGTAGAGACGCGGTCTCACCATGTTGCCCTGGCTGGTCTCGAACCCCTGGTCTCAGGCAATTCTCTCACCTTGGCCTCCCAAAGTGCTGGGATTACAAGCTTGAGCCACCGCGCCCGGCCTACAGTCGCTTTTAAAAACATTATTATCAAGATGGTGCGACCTGTTGGGGTACACAGACCAAGCCCCACAACCGCGCTGAGCCGTCATCCTGCGGGTCCCTGGCCTTCTGGGGGCTAGCTGATCCCTGCGCCCTCACAGCCTTCTCTGGAAGCCAGGTGACCCCACTTACCCCAAAATTTTGGGTCTCAGATTGTGTGAAGCACCGGAAGGGAGAAACCGGGCCTGCTTCCTAAACCCCCACTTTGTGCCCACCTGCTCACATCGCTGGAGCCCCACCCTCCGCCGGAGTGCAGGGGAGATCCACGTATGACAGTGAGTTAGCCACGCGGGAGATGGAGGGCCAGGCCCAG